CAGGCGCGGGTGAGTCTCGTCGCTTCCCCACACGAGCAGCGGGGGGAGGGGGGTTTGCCTCGGCCTTCCCCGCTTGGTGCTGGGGCCGCGCGAAGCGGCGCCTGGAGGCACTTCTCGCCTTGGTGGCGGGCCCGGGCATGGCCTCGAGCGGGCGTTTTGCGCCTTGCACGTTGGGTCGCTTTCCCCCCTGCCACCGTGCAGGGCGCGGGGGGACGAGCGGGGCGGAGCAAGTAGGGGCCTTATTGGCTTTTGTTTTTTATTTGCTCTTGTGTTTTAAATCTGCTGTGGATGCGGGGAGGAGGAAAGCAACGTGATCCAGGGGTGGGGGGCAGACTGGCTTAGCAGCAAGCTCCCTGGGAGAGCCCTCGGTGCCTGGTGTAAGGTGCGGTGTCACGCAGGTTTTGTGCAGTAGTAGATGCAGTACTGCTCTTCTCCACCTTGCGGGTGTAGCACCCTCCTGTTTGCACCACAGACCTTTAAAGGCATTTGTTAAAGTCGTTATTTGCAGGAGGGCTCTCCAAGGTGACCACTTCCGGCTTTTGTTTTCCCGTTCCTCACCTGAGAGGCTTGGGTTTTTTTAAATGCGTTCTTTGAAACCATGAGTAGTTTTAAGCAAAATCAGGACTCGCATTTCTTATATGTTACGGGTAAAATGGGTATCCTCTGTAGTCTGTTGCTACATGACTTTTTTTTCTTTTTATTTAGATTGCAGCAAAAATTGGTGGAGACGCAGGGACCTCAATGAACTCGAACGACTACGGTTATGGAGGACAAAAAAGACCTCTTGAGGATGGAGGTATGTGTCAATACGTGGAATTGTCACCATATAACGTCGCTTTGTTCAGTGCTGCAGCGCTGGATTACAGCTCCTAGGTTAAATTTCCCAGGTTGTACCGTGGTTTGATCACTCTTACAAGTTGCATGTTTTTATTTCAATGGGGATTTTTGTTTAGAAGATAGCATGTGGTGTAGCTGGTCACTTCAAAGTCTGTATAAGCATATTTTACAGCTTAATTTTTTCCAAATTAACTACAGTAACAGAACGGAAATTATGTGGGCAAAATATGTAAAAACAAATTGTCAGCAAGTGCCTGTATCTTGGTGTGTTGTCAAAGTCTTTTGCTTGCTGTATAAGACTGGCAGTAGTTTGCAAATTTTGTTAATGTAGAAGGAGATTGCCTTTCAAACCTACATTGGCTTTAATCTCTAATTTAACGTTGCCTAGGGAGAATTAGTGCAGCAGTTTTTAATTATTTCTGTATAAAGGTATAGGGGACTTGCTTTCCTGAAACATCCAGAAATTTTAAAAACTTCTGTTTGTTAGACTTCAGGAAAGCTTCTGTTTGAAATATTTAACTTGTGAATGTTGATAATATCCTGTTGTAATAAGCTTTTAATTTTTTTGACTTGTCTTTACTGTTACAGTAATGTTTTTACCTGTAATGTTGGGTTTTTGGGTTTTTTTGCTGTCTTTTTTTGTTGTTGATGTTCCTTAGTAAACTAGTAGTGTGAACTTAACAGGGTTTGATTCATAATACACACACACACTCTCTCTCTCGCACACACACAATTCTTACTAAAATGAAAGGAGACATTTTGAATTTGGAAGTGCTGAAATATGTTCTAGGTCTTGTGTATGAGCTCTGACTTTATTCCATTAAGAGGACTGTGACTCGATCTACAGGACTTTGTCCTGTAATAATGTGGGATTTTTCCTATTATAATAGTGAGGTTTTTGATTTTCAGAAATGAGCTAATGATGCTTCAGATGATGTATGTAATGTATTCTTTTTATTTTATGTGTAGATGGCTCTTGGACAAGTCTGAGCAGTACAGCACACTGGGAGGGAATGCCCTCTCCTTTTAAAGGCAGGAATTTTTATTTATTACCTGTGTTTAGTATGTAAACATAAAATAAACTAGTGGATCTTTTTAAACAGGTGACACAAATACATCTTGGATCATGTCTGAGGTGTTGTGCATAATTAATAGTTTCTTCATATGAATTTGAATATGGGGTGGGAAGGAAGCATCTGCATCTTTTCAGATACAGGTTATCTATGCTTTTTTTTTTTTTTTTTTATACACCTTTATTTGTACAGAAAGGTTTAGGACAGTAGTGATGTAGTTGCTTTCGTTTAGCTTTTTTTTTTCTTATTTAAGCCTTTGTTCTCAAACACCTGATATTGGAACAGGAATGTCATACCATAGTTCAGACTGAGATTACCTTGCATTGTTGCATCTTACATTTGATGTTCTATTTAGATTTGTGGTTCTTTTGGTTTTTACTGTAGAAGCATCATTAGCTTGAGCAGTCAGTTATTAGTAACAGAGCAGTTTTAGTTAACTGTCAGTAATTGAGGATACGTTAAAAATCTACAGCGTGTTCTAAAAATTGTCTTTACTAGGCCAGTGAACAGATACATGGTAATGCCAAACTACTTTTCAATTATGCTAACCGAATGCTGAGTTCTCATAAGATTCTTTTTTTTTTATTCAGATGATCTGCTCCCTGAAATTCCAGGGGGGGAAAGAGAGATTAAAATACACTGGAAAATTACAGTTCACACTGAAGGGACAGCCATTAGTTTGAAAAGTTTTTTATTTTAAAAAATGAAAAAATAAAAACATCTTAATTTTACAGATCAACCAGATGCTAAGAAAGTTGCACCTCAGAATGATTGTAAGTGGGTTTTTTTATTATTATTTTGTATGATTAAAGTGTAAACATTTTCAGAGTAACAGTTTGGCATAGTATTCTGATAGATAATGTTTGAACCGGTGAGATCAAGGTGACATGAGAGAGTCTTAGTTTCTTGAATCATTATCTTTCATATGGCTAGGGCAAGCAACAGCAGAGAAGGTGCAGGTTAATTAAAGTTGTATGTTGAGGGTTGATGGCCAGCTAAGTAGATTGCTTCAATCCCTGCATGATATAGATGCAAGTTCAGGACAGGAGTTTGAAGTTGGCTTACTGATAGCACCTCTCTGCATGTGCAGTTCAGTGAGTCCTTGATGCCCCACTTGTTCAGTAAATAGGCACACCTTCCCTGTCCTGTATGAATGCGGTTCAGTGTGGTTCAATATTTACATTGGTTACATTAGTTCCTTGAATAAAAATGAGCGTTATCTAGCAAAATGTGTTGTTCCCTTATAGTCTGCAATAGAGTTGAGTCAGTTAATACTCATTAGCTTTCTACCTTTTTGCAACATTTCTGTAAATCCTAGCTTTGTTGTATATAGCTACAAATAGTTTGCTTATTAGTGGATTGCTTCGGTTTAATTATCAAATGTTTTGCCATTATCTATGACTTAGACTTAAAAACGTGTGTTTCTTTGTAGCTTTTGGAACCCAGATGCCACCAATGCATCAACAGCAAAGGTTGGAGCTATAAACATTTTCTGATTTTGTTTTTTGCTTCGTTTGCTTTTGGGTTTTTAGTGTTTTTGTTTTTAGTCTTGATGTTCTTTTAAGAAACATCTGAAAGTTTTCCCAAGTTAACTGTGTTTGAAAAATGAATAGCTGAGAGCCAAATTTAAGTGCATCGGGTACCATTTTGTTGGCTATTATTTATTTATTTATTTATTTATTTATTTATTTATTGTCATGTGCTACACTTAGAACTGTGTGGGGAGACCAAACTATCAGTATTTTTTTTTCATCTGTAGACTATCCAATAAACAAACAGCCCCCTCATCCCTGCAATCATTGATTTTCATTTTGCTTTGTAGAACTAGATTGTGCTTTTGCCTCCATTTATATTGAAGGGCTTTTAGGTTAAAAGTGACAAACTTCTTAAAGTAAAAATGTGTGCACTGGGCTATCGTTAAAGTTAGGCAGCACTAAGTAGGTTTCTCAAAAGACTTTGTGAGAGAGTTCTGTAAGTGTATCTTCATTGGCAATGGTTTAAAGGTAGTCAGTCTGTCTTGACAGATGAAATAATACTCTGAATTGAAAACCAGTTCAGCATTCTTAGCAAATGTTTTCTGTTGCATTTCATCTTGTTCAGATCTGTAATGACAGAGGAGTACAAGGTTCCAGATGGAATGGTTGGATTCAGTAAGTAACATAAGAATAATAACACTTCAATTGACATCTTAAAAATATTGTTGGAACTAATTATATGCATTTTTTTCTATTACTTTTCTCCTCCAAAGTAATCGGCAGAGGAGGAGAACAGATCTCGCGCATACAGCAAGAATCTGGATGTAAAATACAGATAGCTCCTGGTAATTATTTTCTTTGAGGTTTATTCATTCCAAAGGGGTAGGTTTAAAATATGAGTTGATGCTTTTCGGTTAAATATCTTAGATTAAAGCATATTTTATCCACATGTGAAAAACAGTCCTAAATCTTGTGAGGAAGTGACTGTATTTGAAGTGTTAATACTCAGTCCAGCTGATTTTTATTGATTATTTTTCAGTTCAATAGAATTGTTAATTAAGTTTTTATTTTATAAACATTTTAGATAGTGGTGGCCTGCCTGAAAGATCTTGTATGTTAACTGGAACACCCGAATCTGTCCAGTAAGTAAAATAAACATCTGTTATATTTTAAGGTCTAAACATACAAGTATATTCTGTTAATTCTGTATAGTGATGGGAAAATATAAACATTCAACTGGTTCTGTGTGTTAAGGAAAATATCACTATATGCATTAAAGTAGTTCCTGGTTCGACAATTAGCTCTAGAAGTATAGTTTAACAGGGTCAGGGCATAAATTTCTTAAAACAGAACTACAAATTGAATCTCTCTCAATAGCTGATAATACTTAACTTCAGCAAGGCTTTAGTCTTCCGCAGCATTCTCGCAAGCAAGCTAAGGAAGTACGGGTTGGTTGGATGAATGGACTGTAAGGTTGGATAGAAGACTGGCTCGATCATTGGGCTCAGAGGGTAGTAGTCAGTAGCTTGATGTCTAATATGCAGTTGATATCAAGTGAAGTGTCCCAGGAGTCTGTCCTGTGGCTGGGTTTATTCAGTATTTTCATCAATGATCTGGAAGATGGCCTAAAGTGCACCCTCAGCAAGTTTGCAGATGCCACCAAGTTGTTGGGAGTAGTAGATATGCTAGAGGGTAGGGATAGGATTCAGAGAGACCTCAACGAATTGGAGGATTGGACCAATAAAAATCTCATCAGGATTAAAGGATAAGTGCAGAACAATCCCAGGCACCAGTACAAGCTGGGGACCAATTGGCTAAGCAACAGCTCTGCAGAAAAGGACAATAAACTGAATATGAACCAACAGTGTGCCATTGCTGTGAAGAAGGATACCAGCATACTGGGCTGCATTAGTAGGAGTGTTGCTATCAGATTGAAGAAAGTTATTCTTCCCCTCTGTTCAGACTGGTGAGGCCACATCTGGAGTACTGTGTTCAGTTTCGGGCCCCCTGCTACGGAAAGGATGTAGGCAAATTGGAGAGAGTCCAGTGGAGGGCAGCAAAAATGGTTAGGGGACTGGGGCACATGATTTATGAAGAGAGGCTGAGGGAACTCGGCTTATTTAGTTTGGAGAAGAGAAGATCAAGAGGGGATTTAATAGCAGCCTTCAACTAGCTAAAGCGTGTTTACAAGAAGGATGGTGCTAAACTTTTCGGTGGTGGCAGATGACAGAACAAGGATCATTGGTCTCGAGCTGTAGCAAGGGAAGTTTAAGTTAGATATTAGGAAAAACTTTCCCACTAGGAGGGTAGTAAAACACTGGAACAGGTTACCCAGAGAGACTGTGCATTCTCTATCCTTGGAGGTTTTTAAGACATGGCTTGGATGATCTAGTTGGGGGTGGTCCTGCTTTTGAGCAGGGGGTTGGACTAGATGACAACCTGAGGTTGGTCCCTTTCAACCCTAAGTTTCTATGATTATACAGCTGATCCATCTTCATTTGGTGTTGATCCATCTGTGCACTAGTTTCACAATGAGAACAGTCTATTATGGTGATGGCTGTACATTTGATAGGGGAGAGAGAAGTTAGTATGTGCTGAATACAATAACTTTGTGAAGTCTTGCTCTGTTGTGGGGATTCTGTAGGATTTGGTGATATTTGTAACTAGTTACCTTGGTATTTTTCTTATGCAATTAAAGTAACAGTAAGTGGAGTTTAAGAGTCTATTGTTCGGACTTAGTTTTGTTTATAGTATTCCATCAAGCAAAAAAATTGGAAGAAAGCCCAGTCAAAATTTTTAAAAGGCTGTATTGTGTCCTGTGCCCATCTTGGGCAGCTCAAGAATTGCTTCTTGATGCATGAATTAATTGATCCTTGCTGAACTGACTGAACACTCAAGCTACCTGGACATGAACTTCATGAATTTTTGTACTGAGTTCACAAGAGTTTTAAAATAATTCTGATGGATTTTAATAGTTCTGATACTTGTCTGTGTAAAAAATAAATAGACAATAAATCATGCATTATTTGACCCATTAGCTGAAATTAGATGTAGAGAATAGGGGTGTACCAATAGAGGATTTTGGGGGGAATATCAATAGCTAATATTAAAGGAGGCATATCAGCCGATACTGTTCCAGTTTCTAATATAGCTGCCTCCAGCTGGTAAGTCTGGTGTGATGGAAGGGGAGTGGTGAGGGGGCAGATGAATGCCCCTTGTGGTGAGGGAGAGGGCAGACACTGCCCAGGCAGGGGGTGGAGCCATGGCTTGTAGAGGCAGCTCCCACAGCTGCTTGCACCCCAGGAAGGCATGGTGGGGGATCATGTACCGCCAGATGTGTGGGGTGGGATTTAGCTTCTCGGAGGGGGCTGGGCTCAGAGCGGGTGCCGTCATCACTGAGAGGATGCTGCATCCACCCCAAATTTTGCTGCCGCTCCGCTCCCAGTGCTGCAGCCTCCCGGCGCAGTCCTAGCTCTTCCCAGCGTGTTAGTGGAGGCGGGGCATTGAGCCAAGGCTGTGGCTGGTACCAGGAGCGGAGCAGTGGTGAAATTTGGGGTAGATGCGGAATCCTCCCAGCGCCTGCTCCGAGCCCAGCCCCCACCGAGAAAAGCCCTGTGGGGGCGGCAGCAGCACTGGGAGGGAGGGGATTTGGGGGGGGGCTACAGCAAATGGGGTGGCTGCCGGCCACCCCCCCCCATAGACCCCTCTGTCTGCACCCCTAGTAATAAACTTTCAAAATTAGCATTTTACTAGCATTAACATGAATATTGAAAATTTACAGGCTATCTTTTGGTTTATCTCCAGCTCAGCATAGAGTGGTGAGGGAAAAAGAACTGTGCTTGAGTGTTTCTGCACAGAAGCTAGATGGGAGGGGGGTGGCTACTAAATTTCTGGTTTTAGTTCTTCGTAAGGTTTTGTGTTTTTGTTTTTAAGTGTAAGCTTAATTCTGAGTTTCATTGCTGATTACATACTGGTTAATTCAGATTCTCGTTAGGATTTGTATTTTCACCTTACTTTCATTTTATTTTTATTTTATTTTTCTACCTTGTGGGACTCTCCTTTGTGTTGGTTCTCTCTTGATGCTTTCCTGTGGTGCATATGTAGGCCCTGGAGTTTCAGCTTGCCATAGTTAAACCTGCTTTCTTATCAAACTCAGCTCCTTATCCATTGTCTGCAAGTTATAATACACTTCTGGGAGATAAGTGATATAAAAATAGATGACATAAGAAGGCATGCTGATGTGCATAAGGAAGTGTTTAGTGTCAGATACGTATCCATAAACTACAAACCCAGAGACCCATGGATTTTATAGACAACCAGTGAGAAAAGCTGGTGGCTGATCAGAAGGGTCACGGTGGTGTTGCTCTTAATGGCCGAGAGAACATGGGAAAAACAAGGTTTTTGGGTTTTTGGGTAATATTGTTTATTGGGCCAGCTATAAAGTTTAGCAAGATGTTGGATAAGCTTTTGGGCATACTTTTGCATGTTTGGGAAAGAAGTAGTTAGTTTAAGCCATGGGTATCAAACAGGGTCCATGGGCTAGATCTAGCCTGTGGATCGATGGTAGTCCTGGTACCGCATGCTGCACAGAATACAGGGGTGGTCCAGGATGTGCACTGCATGTGATGCCCTATTGGGCTGGCTGTGTGTGCTGGCTCTGGGACGGTGCTGGAATCAGTGTTCAGAGCCAGTTTAACCCTGCATGCAGCACCTAACATTTGCTGGGCTTGGAGCTTGCTGACATGCAGCATCTGGGACAGTCATGGGGGGCAGTGCATGGGCTGGATGTGGCACTGCACATGGTGGCCAGATCAATTCTCTGTGCTGTCTGCAGCATTGGGTCCAGCCTGTGTTCCACAGGCAGTGCAGGTCCTGTGTCAGCTTTGCACAGTACGCACAGTGAGCCCCAAGGTAGCTTAACCCAGCGAGCCACACAAGTTTGATATCTCTCCCAACCATAAAGTTGGTCCAATAAAAGATGCTACCAAACAGAACTTGCTGATCAGTAGGACTGAGAGTATATAATGCAAGTGAGAAGACATTCAGTAGAACCTTGTACCGAACTAGCCACAGCTAACGTTCACCTCCCCTTCCACTTTAGCTATTCAAGCAGATGATGCTGCCTGCCACCACAATATTCTGGAGCCTGGGTTCATAAGCTTATTTTCAACTATTCTTGATCCAGCTGCTCCAAAAACATGTACGTTTGGAGAAAAGGTCTCCCTCTCTATACCTTTTCAAACACAGCAGCCCCATATTTTTCTTTCCATACTACTAAACCACCAAATATTAGAGGAGTAACTTTGAACATATGGACTTAGGGTCATAGGAAACGGGGCAAAATGGAGAGAGGAAAAGTGGGGTATGCTTAAGGTGTGTTTAGAGGTAACAAAAGAGAAGAAAAGATTTAAAAGAAAAAGGTGGGAGGGTAAAGCTTATGTAGTTGTAAAGATCTTAGGTTGACTTTATTTGGTGAAATTAAATGCTATTTAAAGCATATTTTACAAACATCTATACTTTCTTTAAATAAACTTTGCTCTTGATCTATTTAAAGGTACAGTATAACCTCATAAATCCACAAACCTCCTGATATGGAGGGAGAAGCTTGCATGTGGTGGGTGCTACCACCATCTACCACCCTGTGCCACCACTCTGCATGTGGCTGCTGCTCTGGGACCAGCTGCCACTACTCCCTGATGAAGTGTATTTTTAAAAAGTGCTGGATTTTTGAGAATTTCAGAATTTTGAAAACCAGATTTATGAGGTTATACTGTAATTCAGCTGTTTCTACAGATTGACATTGATAGCCCTCGAACAGGAAAGCATGTATCCATTCTGTATAAACAGTGGTTGGAGCCTTCACTGATACTTGATTCACAAATAACAGATTTGCAGCATGATAGCAGCTTCATTTGCACCTTCACCTGAAGTCTTACTAGTCGCATGGGCCTCTTGCTGCACTTTGTTCTGCTTGTAGTCATCCCTGAAAAGCATCTGAAAGCTTCAGTTTATAATGAAGTAGTAACCTGTTATTCCCAAGTAGGGCAAGTGTTGATTTACTCCAGTTTTCTCTTAATACCTGTTGTTTCCAGTTTAACTGAATTCTTTTCTTGTATATCCATAATTGCTTCTTTTCTCCTCTTCCTCCGTCAACAGTTCACCAGCCTTTTTGTCCTGTTGGCTTTGTAATTGATTTATTCAATTTTATTTACCAGTTCTGATGATGATAGTTTTTACATCTCTAAAAACTACATACTTTTTCTTCTCCACTAAATGAAACCCTTTGTTATCATATTTTTGTTTTTTGGGACAGGAAATGGGTGTTTACTTGCTTGTTCAAACTTTGCATATATTATGGTGAACTTTTAATCCAGAAATTCCTGAAAAGTTGCAGTAACAGTACTGGAAAAAGTAATCCTTCTTGTTTGGTCAAGTGCCCCTTCCTATCCCAGTGTGTTGTTGTATAAGCTAAGATCGAATTCCTTTGTTCCAAATTTTTTAAGGCATTCTAGCGATCTAAGATGCTTAGGAAATGGGTGTTCTCAGTTTCTAAATAAATTCATCCTTAGTGCCTTCCCAGGGAAAAAACCTCCTGGATCCTTCTTTGTTGTCTTGTTATAATTAGTTGGATGAGTGACTATTTTATGTTTATTCTTGATAGTTTGTTGTGGCTGTTAAATTGTATATTGTTTTAATTACATGGTGATGATGGTGTATTAAAAATCTTGGATGAATCTTGGACACTTGAAAGTTCACTTTTTCATGGTGGCTCTTGTGGGTCAATGTCTATGCTATTTTCCCATCCTTCTGAAAATTCTTTAAAAATAAATCTGCCACAATCATATTTCTTTTAGTACTACACTCAGCTTTATGATATCTGATGTAGTGTAACAGAAGGCAGACTGACAAAGTATCTTACAGAATTTGACAAATATACTCTTCTGATATCTATCTGTATGTGTGGACTTAAAAATAAGAAATGGTTTTATGCAGCTTTTTCCAAATGGAACAAGTTGCTATTCATAACAGTAGTGCATGTGTCTCTTCACAGGTCTGCAAAGAGATTACTTGATCAGATAGTTGAAAAGGGAAGACCTGCACCTGGCTTTCATCATGGTGATGGACCTGGAAATGCAGTGCAAGAAATTATGATTCCAGCCAGTAAGGCAGGGTTAGTTATTGGAAAAGGTGGAGAGACAATTAAGCAACTTCAGGTATGTTTTAAACATTTGAGAATTAATATTTCCTGTCAGACTTTGGAATTCTGCAGAAACTTATATTTATGTTGTCAAACAGGAACGAGCAGGAGTCAAAATGGTCATGATTCAAGATGGGCCACAGAACACTGGCGCGGACAAGCCTCTTAGGATAACAGGAGACCCATACAAAGTTCAAGTAAGATTGAAGTGTTCAGGTCTTCCTTTTTAATTTTTTTAATGTGCATCAAAATAATGTTATAGAATCTAAACTATTTTTTTGTTTTGTGGGGTTTCTTTTTAGCAAGCCAAGGAAATGGTGTTGGAGCTAATTCGTGACCAAGGTGGCTTTAGAGAGGTGCGCAACGAATATGGGTCAAGAATAGGAGGAAATGAAGGGATAGACGTAAGCATGGTTGAAATTTGCTCACTGTGTATTTTGAAACTTTTTAATACCAAAAGGTAGTTAATACTAATAATAACTTTTAACTAGTATTTATGGCATGTAAGTTTGACTTGTTCACCACTGAAATGCTGCCATCTCTTAGATGCAGTATTTCAGCAGCCATTTTGGGTTAATAAACACTATAAATCCAGTTACTGCTGGTTGGGTGGGTTTTCTATATTTTCAGGAAGGTGCAGATAATTTTTCCAGTTAAAATGTAGGGTGAAGGGTATAGTTTTACAAGTTGGGAATTGCTCAGCACACACACAGGTGTATGGTAAATCATGATAAATTATGGAAGGGGCCCAGGTACAAATGTAATTTGATGTGACTATTGTAGACCTTTAACAATTTGCTTGGGCATTAACTCGAAGAAAGTGTCTTCTCCTGAGTTTCTGCCATCATTGCAACCTCTGGTGTCTAGAAACTTTAGTTTTTCACACTCTTATGGTTACTGGCTAGATTTGTAACTCCTTTAGATCACAAATGTGACAGAATAACAGACCGAAGTAATAACGTCGATGGCCACAGTTTAGTCTTTTGTTACCCATATGTTATTCTGGATTTTCATAAAAACACTTATCAACATGTTAAAATAGCGTAGTATATTCTGTTTCAGGTTCCAATACCGCGATTTGCTGTAGGTATAGTAATTGGAAGAAATGGAGAGATGATCAAAAAAATACAGAATGATGCTGGTGTTAGGATCCAGTTCAAACCAGGTAAGTAATGTGCATATAAAGGGTAGATCGGTAGCTTTGTTTATCAGTAGAATATGGCTTAAGCTTATCAAAATATAATGTTCTTATTCCAGATGATGGAACAACTCCAGATAGAATAGCCCAAATCACAGGGCCTCCAGACAGATGCCAGCATGCTGCAGAAATTATAACAGATCTCCTTCGCAGTGTTCAGGTAAAGTCCTTGTCAGTATTTGATTCTAGCTGTTTTAGTGTAGTGTTTAATCTTGCAGTGATTACTTCATCATACCCTTTAACCAAGCATTGATTCAGATTCCCACCATTGAATCTGATGTAATCAAGCAGTCTTCACATTTGCTGCCTTGTGGACCTGCTTTATACTTTTTATTTTTCCAGTAAAAATCAATGGTTTTGATCCAGAGCACCTTTAGTGCTTCGGCTGTTAACTGCTACATTTTTAATACACGAGATGTGATCCTGTGCTAATTTTTCTAACTGAGATACTGTAATTAGCGCAGCTTTATCCTTTATGTGCATGCACATGCTTTTCCTCTCACCTTTTTAAATTGTGTGCTCTTACCTAGATGCTACTACTTCACACTAGGGGTGTGCGAAACAGGCCCTATTCAATTTGGACTTGGCCCGAATCAGGGTCAGTGATTTGATTTGTTGATTCAGATCACTGTCTCCAATTCAATTTGGCAGAACCTGAAGATTTGATGCTGATTCAGAGAATCAGTGATTCATATGTAGACACAGCTTTAAATGTTTTTTCCACATACGTCGAGGTACCAGCACAGTGCGATGCTGGGGTGGATGGAACATCCGGGGAGGGGGGAGTTCCATGTGCTCGTCAATGGACCAGAAGTACTTCCGGTCTGCTGTGGGGGGGGGCCACGCAGCACCTCCCCAGCTTTGCGATCGGCCACAGGGGGACCCTGGTTGCCCCTCCCAGACCCAGGAGGTGCAGGGCGAACTTGGAAGTGGACCAGAAGTGCTTCTGGTCCACTTCTGGGTCTGCTGGTGAGCCCTCCATGCTTCTGTGGGATGCTCCATGTGCCCCAGCATCGCAGTGTTCACAAGCCACCTGCTACCTAGAGGTATGTAGAAAAAACATTTAAAGATGCGTCTATGTCCGAATCTTTATGAATCAGTTTGGAGGGTTCTAATTTGGTTCGGAGAGATTAAAGGGTCTTCTGATTCAGAGATTCAGCCACCAAATCAGGCTGAATTGAATCGGGGACCAAAGCTTCTTTATTCTGTTAACTATAGAAAATGCTATTTTGTATATGACAGTTAATTAAAACTTTTCTTTTACTTGTATTAATCTGATGCTCTTTATTTTGTCATAGGCATTATATTCTAGGAAGTTAGCTGCTAGCGCTGCACTGAATGATGTAGTAACTTCTAGTATTGTGTGCTAACATGTGCCTTTCCCTTCCCGCTTCCCTGTCTCCCCTTAGGCTGGTAATCCTGGAGGACCAGGACCAGGTGGTCGTGGAAGGGGTAGAGGCCAAGGCAACTGGAACATGGGGCCTCCTGGTGGATTACAGGAATTCAATTTTATTGTACCCACTGGAAAAACTGGATTAATCATTGGCAAAGGCAATGCATTTTATATATTAACTAGAAATCATTTGTGTTGATAGCTGCATCATAGAGATTTTCAGAGAGCTCTTAGTGAAAATTGCAGTCGTGTCTACTTTAGTTTGTGTGCTCTCATTTTGTCATTGTTGAATAATTTAACATTAATGTTCTTTTTCTTGTAGGAAATAATACTTGTTTCTAGTAACCAGAGAGGTCAATAATCTTGACAATTTCTAAACACGTTTAGCCTTAAGTGCATTTCCCTTAATGGCTGTGAAATAATGTCATGTTGCTCATCTAGTGAATTCTTCCAGTTTGTGCAAATGTAACTTGCGTGCGTTCAATATTGACTTGTTAATTTAGTCTTATCATGCATCCTTAATTTTGCAAAAATGGTTTCCACATTTTTCAGCAAAGATGTAATGTAGTAAATAGTACTAAGATTTTGCTCTCTACAAAAAAGTTACACGTTTCATAGAACATTATGGTTAAATTTAAGCTGCAGCATGCTGTCAAATGAAACTTTTAAAAAAATCCTGGTGTTTCTTCTGGACAGTACAAATTATTAACGTTAATTTCCAGACTTAGTCTGTGTTCTGAAGCTTTCATGTGTCTGAGAACTCTTTACTTAAATGGTTAAAATAACATCAGAGACTACTACAATACTACAAATGAAAGAATCAAGAAATGTATATATACTCCTCTGTCCATTTCTGTCTACGTTGTGTACATGTTGGCCCTTGTAAATAGTTGACTTCAGAGTGACAGAGTTCCACTTGTCATTTTTATTTGTGTATTTTTCACAGCACTTGGATTTTGCTTTTCCATACACCTTGCCAGAAGTCCATCACTAACAGCTGCAAAGCTGAAAACAACAGACACATTCACAGCCTGTTTAATGCTTCAAAATACTGCTGAAGTTCAGGAAAAGCTTATTTTCTAAGTTTTCTGACCTTTTATGCAACTGATAACTAATCAAAAATAACTTTCAGAGAATCACCTTTGAAGTATCATGTTTTCTCTTAAGAAAATATTCAGCTGAGAACCTGTGTTCACTTTTAGGCATTGTTTGCTCTATATCACTTCTGATCTTTATGCAGCCAATAACTAAACTTTTCTCCCTTACTCTTTTTCTGTTGAATACAAACAAAAACACTTACTGGTTTCTAATTTAACTTATAGATATTAATGTGCATGTGTATCTTTACATATGGCTTTACATATCCATTGTTGCTCCTGTTTGATTTTTATGTTAGAGTTTAGTGAGTGTCATGCCTGGACATTACAAAAAACAAGAAACACTTTTGAAGTTCTTCACTGATGTATTTTTCAAGTACAGATATTGCCTTGCACTTCCTTCCTTCTATTTCATTCATTATATTTATTGGTCTCCACTATTAAGAACATGTCAGTTAGACTGAAAGCAAACATTTAAATACTTTTTTTAAAATCACGTGCCAGTACAAAATTTTGTAAGACTAGGTAGCTAGCTCATTAACTCTTGTTCACTCGGGTCTTAACTTTTGTAAATTTTTGACCAACTTGCACCTTAGTTCAGGTGTTTTTGTTTTTTTAATTCAATGCAATGTCTTGCCATGAAAGTTGGATATTTTCATTACAGGAGGTGAAACTATCAAAAGCATAAGCCAGCAGTCTGGTGCTAGAATAGAACTTCAGAGAAATCCACCACCAAATGCAGATCCAAACATGAAAATGTTTACTATCCGTGGGACACCACAGCAGATTGATTATGCTCGGCAACTTATAGAAGAAAAAATTGGAGTGAGTATTCTGAGAAGCATCTTAAATTGCTGTGTAAGGCTGTTAACATCTTGTACCTTGCTAAAATAAAGATAAAGTGAGGGTATACATGAAATTGAACTGAATGGTTGAGTCTGTCTACTAGTTCTTTCCACTTGAGTTCCTTTTTTCAGATGTTAACTAGATTGACAGTAATTTAATTACTGTTAATCATTAGTGTCTGAATGTGAAGTCAGATGTAAACATAATCATGAGCCCTAATTTTCATTCTTGATGATCTGAGTGATGAACTGAATAGGAAAGAGATGGAATTACTCTTCTGGGTCATGGTTGATATAAATTAAGTAGCTTTCACTGTAGCATCCTGTGCTATAATTGTTTTGTGCGTAATGTGGAATTTGACAGCCTTGGAGACCAATCTTGGATAGTTTCAAAACTACTAGATTAATTAGATTAATCCAATGTGTATATATAGTTATAATCTAAGCTTGATGCACTTTCTGTTGGTCTCATTTCTCGCCGACTTTATTTTTAGCCTATTTGTGGGTCTAAATAGGCAAACAATGAGTATGCTTTGATGAATGCCTTATTGTAGAGAATTATACCAAAACACCCCTTGGTTAAGATCTACTATCTATATATCTATAAATTCATTTGAATGCATTGTTCATTTGTGGGAATGTAAAATGATTTTGTTCCCTCCAAAACAAGTATTCTTTCAATTTTTATTTTTTTTTATTCTAGAGTTAGTGGTAATTAGATTGTTGATGAATTATCATGGTTCACTGATCTAAAAACGTGAATGTTTGCTGTTATGTGGCTAAAAAGAGAGCTTGTCTGAATGGGAATTTCAGTATTCTGGCCCTTGAGAACCAGAAGTACTAAGAAGGCATTAGAGGGAGGATCCATGAGAGAATCTAAAGATGTGGATATATGTAATGATCAAATCATTCCCATATGTCACTAATTTTTTGAACTGGTTTACAATTGTGTGAGAAGTACTGTAGGTCTGACACTGAAAGGGAATTTATTGATTAAAAGGTCACAGCAAAAAGAATGCAGTGAGCCAGTATAGTTGTTGCTGCGTGCACAACAGAGTGGCCAGTTGCTGGGCGGGGAGGGAGGTAAAGTGACACAATCTAGGGTTCCAGTTCTTGCCTTGATAATCAATCAGACCCATATTGCAGAACATTTGAACTATGACATCAAACAATTATGCCATGAACTGGTTCAAATGAATACTTGGTTTTCCAGGTATACATTTGAACAGGCAGCTTTAAACTGGTTTAACAGGCTTGTTTGCTTCAGGGTTAAACTACATTTAAACCGCTCTGCATATTACGTGTTTATGCCTTTAGGAATCAATTCCTGAAGGAAAAGCCCAGACCTCTGGACAAAAGCTTTTAGCTCATAGTCTATTGGAATCCAGACTTGTGCTCTCAGTATGTGAAAAGATGGAGGTCATTTTTCTCCCTGCCTGCTTCTTTTCTGTTTTATAGGGTCCAGTAAATCCTTTGGGTCCACCTGTTCCTCATGGGCCCCATGGTGTTGTTCCTGGCCCACATGGACCTCCTGGACCGCCAGGTCCTGGCACTCCTATGGGACCTTATAATCCTGCTCCTTATAATCCAGGACCCCCTGGTCCTGCACCCCAGTAAGCATCATTTTAGTTCCATTTTTAAAGTGGGGGAGGGAGTGGAGTCACCCTCAACTTGAATTTCATTGAGCATGGTACTTTGTCTTACAGTGGTCCACCAGCACCATATGCCCCACAAGGTTGGGGTAATGCCTATCCACACTGGCAGCCACCAAACCCACCAGATCCAGGTAAGAAATGCATTTTTTTTTTATAAAATATTCTTGCTCAGCCATGCACTTGATGCACATATGTGCTGCTTTAAAAGTGTGTTTACATTTTTTTTATTTATACTGCTAAATCTGAAAACTGCTTCTTGATCATTACTTTGAGAAACTGCATATACATAAAATGCATAAAAAATAACTCTTGTTTACTGAAATTCAGTTAAAAGAGCAGGAGTGTCTCCTTGTTACATCTGTGATTTGCTTTCATTCTTCTAAATGGAAAATCTCAAAATTACTTGCATTTAAATGAGAGGTTCAACTTTCTCTACTAAGCTTATCTTGTAAAATTGAGTACAGAAAAGCAGACCACTAGTTCAGAGAGCTGAAGTAGCATGTTTGAGGGTCTCCAACCAAGATTTGGTGATTTATATTGATCCCCAAAGCCTTTTCTATCTAGTCGTACTGGCCATGGTGTTTCACTTGGTGGTTTAACTGTATCTTATTTCTAAGTGGTATTGATCCAGGTGAGGATAATGCTCCTTTGAGTCAAAATCTTGGATTTCTCACCCCCCCGCCCTCCCCCCCCCCCCCCCCCCAAAGGATAGCAATACTTAGAAATCCTGGTTTCTGTTAACTACTTCCATTATGTTATCATTAAGACTATTGTTATTTGATTCTTTTTTTGGTAGGTAATTATTTTTCAAAATCTTTTCCAAAGTCCATCCCCCTTAGTAAAAATCTTTACCTGAGCAACTTTAAGGGTAATTCAAGTGTCCAGTTGGGCAGGATCATAGAAAACAGACCTATAGGGAACCAAGGCATGGCAGAACCTGGGCAAAAATGTTCTGATTCTAACTGCTTACTGTTAGTATAAAAGATTCAGCAGTGGTCCTTTCTAAAGCTGGATAAAAGATTTCAGTCAAAGCTCTTGAGGAAATAAATTATTTTCCCCACTCTGTACTCCACTCAATTTTTTTTTCCAAAAAGCTGTATTTTCTGGGGGGTGTCAAACTTCTGTTGCACTACTAAACATCTGGAAATCATGTTTAGGTTTTGGCTGCAAACTAAAATATTTTGATGCAGGAGTGCTGTTGATGGCGCTTTAGGGGATTTTCAGTACTTCATTGCTGTTCTTCATCTGGGTTTTGGCATGGCAGAAGTTCATGAAGCAAGAGAGATGGCCTGGTCATTGGAGATGCAGTCAGATCATTAACTTGGTTTATGAGAACAGGGCATAAAGCATCCAGTGAGTCAGTGTGACGCATCTATTTAGAATTTTTCAGTTTTAAACAACCAATACTTGAAGTTTTTCACCGTATATGGGTAAAAATCAATTTTCTGATCTCCTCCAGTCCTCGCGCAACGGCTGTGTGCAGACGTTTTTAAAAAAAAAAAAAAGGCAAAAAAAGTGTCTTTAAACTTGGTGTACTCCCATCCTGAGCCCAGCACATGCCCAGAAGAGGCAGTGCGTTAGTTGGACCCGGCTCGTGCAATGTCTGCATAAATCGGGTGCTTTAGTGGTGCTGTTTTGGTGCTCTTACCTAATAGCTGATTAAAACAACTTTAGCTAAAAGTGCCAAATAGT